AGACAGTCACATGTCACTTCTGCTACATTCCATTGGTCAAAGCAAGTCATAATTCTATCTGAGATTCAGAGGGCAAAATTTTACCCCTTGATGTGCAGATGCAGCACATGCATATAAGCGGGGGAGAGATGGTTGAGGTCCATCTGGGGAGACTAGTCACTGTGGGTTCTGTTGAGTTCTGAGCCTAGATTACAGCTTGCTGCTGAGAGACCCAAAAAGAGAAAAAAGAACGGATGCTGGGGAATAACATGTGCCTCTGCCATGTGCCCCTCCCTGAATCAGTGACTGGAATATGCTGAATGCCAGTCAGAAATCATCCCGGGAGCTAGAGGTAGGGTCAACCCTCCCAAAATCTGTTGGGTGCAGATTTTTTTAAAATTTTAACTTTTTTTATTGTGGTAAAATATACGTAACATAAAATATACCTTTTGACCACTTTTAAGTGTATAATTTAGTAGTATTATGTAAATTCACAATGTCTTCTATCACACTTATCCATTTCAGAACTTTCTCATCACTCCAAACAGAAACTCTGTACCCATTAAGCAATAACAACCTATCCCACATTCCCCCCAGCCCTTGGTAACTTCTATTATACCTTCTGTCTCTATGAATTTGACCATTCTAGTATCTCATATAAATGAATTATACAATATGTGTCCTTTTACGACTGGGTTTTTTCATAGCATAATGTCCTTAAGATTCATCCATGTTGTAGCATTTGTCAGAATCTTATTCTTTTTCATGGCTGAATAATATTCCATTGTTTGTTTAGAGTACCTTTTGTTTATTCATTCATCCATCCATTCCATTGATGGATACTTGGGCTGCTTCCACATTTGAGGTATTGTGAAGAATGCTGCTGTGACCAGAGGTGTACAAGTACCTGTTTGAGTCCCTGTTCTCAATTCTTTTGACTATATATCTAGGAGTGGAATGCTAGGTTCTATGTTTGACTTTTGAGAAACTGCCAAACTATTTTCCACAGTGGCTGCCCCAGCAGCAATGCACAAGAGTTCCAGTTTCTCTGCATCCTCACTAATACTTACTATTTTCCATTTTTTATAATAGCCTTTCTAATGGGTGTGAGGTGATACTGATTTTCATTTCCCTAATGACTAATGATATTGAGTATCCTTTCTTGTGAATATATCTTCTTTGGAGAGAAATGTCTATTCAATTCCTTTAACTTTTTTCCCCCCATTTTTGAATTGGGCTGTTTGTTTTGTTGTTGTTGAGTTGTGGTAGTTCTTTACATATTCTGGATATTAAACCCTCATCAGGTATATGATTTGTAAATATTTTCTCGCATTCTGTGGGTTGTCTTTTCATTCTCTTGATAGTGTCCTTCGATGCGCAAAAGGGTGTAGGCTTATTCTTCAAAGAAAAATTGGAATGGCAAAAAAACATCCAAAGGGCAAATAACAAATATTGACTACAACCACCTGCCACGTAGCCCAAACTGAAGTTCTCAGATCAACCTAAACTCCCCTTTTTCCTTTACTTCATTAATTCATTCTCTCACTCATTAACTCATTCGTTTACATATTGAACAAACTCAGAATCTAGTGGAGGAGACCAATATAGACAGAGACGATTCCCAAGCTGAGTGTTAAGGGCTCGAACCATGGGGAAAGCCCAGGGGGCTGAAGGTGGGCCTACACTCCAAGTCATGCTGTGGATTAGACCTCTAAAATGTCCTCAAAGTCACCTTTCCTCTCTGCTCCTATGGCCTCTGGTATCCTTGTTCCTAGTCTCACCCCATTAGTTCAGGCTCTTTGAGAAGCTAGTGCCAGGACGGGACAAAATGTGGAAGGATTTCATGAGGGAAAACATCTGTGGGAGAGAAAATGGGGAGGCAGCGGAAGGCAGAGAGAGCCATCAGGCTGCGATGAAGTTTGGTCCCAGGTGAAGGAAGTTTGAGTGGAAGAATCTAGTCTGCCAGGCTGTATAAGGAAGGTGTGGCAGGTGTCGGGGAGTACTGTATCTCTCAGAAATGGGCCTGCCTTAGTGTCCCTCTTGTGCTAAATCACCAATTGGGAGCATCCCATGCGAAGCATGGCCTTAGTGCAAACACAAATCATAGCAGTCCTTGCTCAATTATAACTCCTTGTAGTTGAAGGTCTGTGAGGCTCATTTTCATGATCTCCACAGCCCCCACCAGGCTACTGCAGTGATCTTTTTAAAATGCAATCTCACTATGTTATTTCTCTGCTCAGATGCCTTTCATGGCAACCCAGTGTCCTCAGGCTAAAGCTCCAGCTCTTTCTCTCAGCTCTCAAGGTCCTGCTGGGGGAAAGGGGACAATTTACCCTGTATGCTCTATTGCTCGTTAATCCTCATGCCTGCTTGCAATTTATATGCCTCAGCCACACTAAACTGACTGCCTGCTCCCCATATATGTATTCTCTTTCATTCTTCCATGCTTTGCCAAAACTGTGCCCTCCGCCTGGAAAGCCCTTCCCTACATGCCTCCCCCACTCCTCAACTAACCTCCCCACCCTCCCCCAGGCAAAGCCTAGCTCAATGTCAAGTGCTTTCACCAGCTTCCCAGATTCAGTCAGCAGCATCCCCTGACTCCATCTCTGGTCCAGGCCCAGGTCCTCTAGAGTAGACAGAGGATTCCTGGGACTGTGCTAGGAGAATGGGACAAACAACTGTCACAGTCCTCTTGGGCTTCTTGCCTTTCCTCCCAGCACAAGTTGGCTTGCATGGCCTCAAAATGTTCTCATACCCCCGTCGTCTCTCCACTATGATCACAGCAGAAATCCAGTGCACAGAGTTCAGGGAAGTCAGTGATAGGGCCCCATTTCCACCCCACTCCCATCCAAGCCCTTTCTACCTCCCTCCTCCACTTTGCAATCCTGCCTTCCTGTGCTCAGGATTCAATGTTTTATTTTTAGACCACACATTGGACTGGGGCTCCAGGAATCTGCTTGATATCTGAGGTGTAACCAAACCCCAGGCTGGCACCGGTCTTGAGCTCTAGCTGAGCAGAGGAGAAGTGAGAGGGTCCAAGGGCAGTGCTAGGGGCCAGAGCCCCATGCAGGCAGCACACTAGAGCAGGTGAAGCCTCCACTGAGATCGAGATTCTCCCAGGACATGAGGAGCTCCTACAACCTGACCCACCTGAACCCCTTCTTTGACACCTGGGGCTCAGAGAAGCCAAGGTTACCAGCAGCAGCAGAACTGGGTTTGAACTCATGTTCCCACAGTGTAGTCAGGCTGCCCAAAATTGGAAAGTGGCACAGAAAAGACTGTGTTCTTTTTCTTGCTCTGGCTTTCTCTCCCATTCTGTGTGTATCTCCTTCAGCTCCTGCCTCCAGCTTAACACTAAGGAGAGCCCCCAGTGCAAACACTGGAAGCTGATACCCTCAGGCCAGATCCAGTTTTGTTTGAGCACAGATAATTTGAAATATATTTTGTAATTGTGGTAAAATACACATAACATAAAATTTACCCTCTTAACCATTTTTAAGTGTCCAGTTCAGTGGTATTAAGTACTTTTCGCACTGTCATACAACCATCACTAACATCCATCTCCAGAACTTTTTCATCATCCCCAGCTAAAATTCGTACCCATTAAACACTAACTGCCCATTCCCCGTCTCCTCAGCCCCTGGCAACCACCATTCTATTTTCCGTCTCGACAACTCTGACTGTTCTAGGGACCTCATATAAGTGTACAATATGCATCCTTTAATGACTCGCTCATTTCACTTAGCATAATGTTCGCAAGGTTCATCCATGTGGTAACATGTGTCAGAGTTTTCTTCCTCTTTAAGGCAGAATAATATTCCATTGTATATATAGACCACATTTTGTTTATTCATTCATCTGTCGATGGACATTTGGGTCGCTTCTACACTTTGGATATTTGTGAATCATGCTACTATGAACATAGATGTGCAAACGTTTCTTCGAGTTCCTGCTTTCAATTATTTTGGGTTTATATCCTGAAGTAGACATGCTTGATCATATGATAATTCCATTTTTAATTTATTTGAGGAACTACTATACTGTTTTCACGGCAGAATTTGAAATTTTAAAAAACTAGTTGCCAACATTAAAAAATATCTGGGTTTAGTGCTTCTGTTGAGAAATCGGAGGTCTGACACC